CCATTTTTCTTTTATTTGGTGCCTCCTGAGGATGCCAATATTCCTATGCTTCTTGTTTAACCAAAAAAGCTGCTGTTACTATTTCAAAGCAGGCTGCTGCTTTCCCTTTCCAGCCAGCTACGTTTTACGAACTTGAGCTCTGCTGGTAGAGCCCATGCTGTGTGTTGTGGGGAAGAAATCATCCGGCTCAGCTTCACCTTCTCCCTGGTGTCTCCAGAGGGTGGGGTGGGACCTGCTGACTAAATGCAAGTGAGGATGGAGCAGAGCATAGGGGAGGAACTACAATAGCAGATGGGAGGAAATTCTTGTAGGCGTCTTTCCGAGGCCATCATTGCATGGGCTCAGGCTTAGAATAGAGGCTCTTTAAGACATGGACATCTCAGAAGGAAACTGATACTGCTGAAGTTAAACAAAAGTATTTAATTATGTTTCTGGCTCCTTGAACTTTTCTCCTCCCTGTGGGATTTGTAACTAACCATGGTCTGGTGGCTACCATTTTATTCTACTGTCTAGCATGTTCGTGTCGCTTTGTAAAGTTTTTTTTCGCAAATATAGTTATTATATTTTTACACTATACACATTTTTACACTATACAGTATCAAGAAATGTTTACCCATATCAAGGTTTACATATACCAAGTCCAGTCTGTAAGACTTGTAGTCATGTTTCTTGTCCAGGGTCCCCAGTGAGATGCTGCTAAGTGATGAGGTGTTGTCATTGCTGGGATCGAGTCTTCTCTTACCCCCTGCTCCTGAGCTAAAGAGGGCACTTGAGGAGTGAGGAGGTTCACATCTCTGTCATCTCAGAGCATTTCTGCACAGCGGGGAGTGACTTTAGATGTGTGTATGTCAGCCAGCATCAGTCAAGAAAGGTGAGTAAGAAAAAATAGAGGAAGAGCCAGCAGAACCCAGGCACAGCTGAGTTTTTTCATCTCATTGACTCCAAAGAGCATAGTGAAATTGAGCCTGGACAGTGCCACATAAAATAAACTATCCTGCAGAAAATCCAAGCTAAAGCTTCTTAAATAGAAGCTATTCACAGAAGAATGATCAAATCTTTTAAGGTCCCAAATGTAACACAAAAGCATACATCTTACTCCCAAATGTGCCTATTTCAGCGTGTAAGTCTTTAACACATTGACTGAACCAAAACGAAAGGCTTGTATTCCTTAACAGGGAAAAGTGGATTAATAAGGTATTAATTGACATAGATGCTCAATTATATTTTTATATCAATTTAGCAGGAGTCCTGTGCTGTCAGTATGTTCTATAGCAGAATAGAGTCTTGTATTATTTTCCAATGTAGAATCATTATTCTGTGTATTCATTGTAATGGCAAGGGTAAAACAGATTGAAAAGTTAAACAGGCAATATTTTGCAGAAGAATAAAATATTTTGGGGAGTAATTGCATGGGTGCTAATTGTAAGGACATAATGGGTTCTTCAAGTCTGTGACATCTTAAGCTGAGACTGGATGGCACCAGAAGAGACAAACTTGGAAGATCAGGTGCATAGAGTCCATCCTGAAAGGTGTTAGCACAAGATGAACCACCTTTCCAAGGTGCCCGTCGCTTCTCACTGACTCCAGCAGAAGCGCAGGTGCAATGTTAACACTGTCTGAGATTAATCTCTGCCTGGACAGTATTTTATCATCCCTTCTCTTAAAAGCAATGTAATTACACATACATTTGAAGTCAGTGTCTCTGGCCAGCATTGGCTGCTTGAAGAGGTTAATCTCAACTGACAGTGTACTGAGGTTGTGCAGTGCCCCGCATTTGAGAGGGGACAGATCTTTCCTGATCCATGTGTTGATCACCAACATTAAACCAAATTATTTGGTTGGGTCTCTGAAGCATACCAGCATGGCCTGTCTCACACACTGTCTGTGAAGATGCTTTGAATGAATGCAGGTACTTCCATGATGTTTTTTTCAAATCTTCATTTGCATTGCTACTAATCATACTGGGGGCAGTGTAAACAAGAGGAACCAATGACCTCTTAGCACCATGTTCATAACTTCAAATGCCTTAATTAACTTTGTTCTAAAGCCATGTAAGAGATTTAGAGAAGGAAAAAAGTGGCAAATTATTGTATTGCTCTACTTGTACATTTTCAATGCATCAGCCTGATACGGTACTTAGGGTTTAATATACATCTTCATCATAATTTTCCAATTTATTTATATGTACTGACATAGCACTGGAGGTTCAGTGTCTCTGGGAGTACAAGGCAGGGAAGGAGCAACTGGTGGGTTGGAAGAGCCATGAATGAAGGAGTGAAGTTGAGCCTGGGAAAAAAATAGGGGGAGGGTGATGTATTTTAGATTTTTTGTCCTTGTTCCTCACCATCCAACTCTGTTTTAATTGGCAATAAATTAAATTAATTTTCCCCAAGTGAAGTCTATTTTGCCTGTGATAGTACTTGGTATGTGATCTTCCTGCCTTCATCTGGACCCATGAGTTTTTTCACCTTGTTTTCTCCCCCTGTCCTGTTGAGAAGGGATAATGAGAGAGTGGCTGGGTGGATGTCTGGCAGCCAGCCATGGTCAACTCACCACAATCTTTTAAAGTTTTGGGCCATTGGGTGACACTTTTGGTGAGACAGTACAAGGTAGCTTAAAAAAGGTGAGGATGGTTTCCACCATCTTTTTCTCAATTCCCCAAAGCTTCCCTCACTGCAATTTCTGTTCCATTCATAGAATCATAGAACGGGTTTGGGTTGGAAGAGACCTTTAAAGATCATCTAGTTCAACCTTCCTGCCACAGACAGGGACATCTTCCACTAGATCAGCTTGCTCAGAGCCCCATCCAACCTGGACTTGAATGTTTCCAGAGATGAGGCATCCACAACTTCTCTGGGCAACTTGTTCCAGAGTCTCACCACCCTCATAGTAAAGAATTTCTTCCTTATATCTAGTCTAAACCTACCCACTTTTGGTTTAAAACCATTACCCCTTGTCCTGTCACTACAGGCCCTGGTAAAAACTCTTTGTCCAGCTTTCTTATAAGCCCCATTTAAGTATTGAAAGGACATGGTAGGGTCTCCCCAGAGCCACTGCCTTCAGGCTGAACAACCCCAACTCTCTCAGCCTCTCTCCATAGGTGTTCCAGCCCTCTGATCGTTTTCGTAGCCCTTGCTTTTGGTATACCAGAGTGTTGCCATTTGCCAGCTGAGGGAGTAACATGAGGTGCCTGAACTCAGCTCCCTCTGGAGCCCATCACTGCCCCTTCCTAGCTAACCAAACAGATAACAACAGATGTGCTTTGCCCAGTGAAGAGCATTTAGAGTTCAGCTTTCAGGCTGAATGTGCAAATTCTGGTATTGTCATTTTGGGGGGAAAAAAAAGGAACAATGAGAAATGAACTAAAAAACTCCATAATGCATATATTTAATTTAATAACTATTCAATTTTTTTTTCTCTGGGAATAAGGACAGAACACAGATGTAGTTTAAAAGTCTTGCTTTACAATGCTTTGCGAATGAGATCTATAAAAACACAATTCTGTGGTGTTGAAGTGAAATTCTTAATACTGTGTTCTGTTTCATGAATTAATTTAATTACTTATTGTTTGCTGAAGAGCTGGAATTATGCCAGGCACTTGAATCCAGACCCAACCAACATGTGTGTGCACCGTATAAAGAAACTGTACTGAGCTCAGAGCCAGATGTTGTGAGCAGAGCTGAACCGAATGTGAAGGCTGGGAGGACCTGCTCATAGCAGGTTTTAGAAACACAAGCCCAGACTTGCACCCAGATGCTGTAGGCAGAGCAGTGGACTTAATCAGCACTTCTAATTAGTGCCCCTGTGAGCCGCTGAGAAACCCACCACAGCTGGGAGCATTGCAGGTGCTTTGAATTCTACTTTCTGGGAACCACGGAGCATGTTCCAGTTTCCAGTGTCTGTATTTCTTTATGATGGAGGATATGAACATAACAGGGTACAAGAAATATCTCAGAGAGTGCATTTAGGCCTGGAATAGACAGACATTTCTCCTTCATCTTGTTGGAGGTGATAGAGGACAAAATCTGGGTTCCCAAAGCTACAGGTGGGAGGGAGCCAAAAGGAGCTGCACTGTGTTGAGACTGGTGTATAATCCTCTATGTTTGAACATACACGTATGCAGCTGTCTCAAAAAACCACAGTTTCTCTTTTCAGGCCTCCAGCCATAGTTTTTGCTGTCTTGGCATCTATAGATCTGGCTAAGAAATGCCAAAGGGTGTGGGGTGTCAGCACAAGTGTGGCAGTGATTTGTACAAGGCAAGGAGAGAAAGCCATAAACGTCCCTTAATGGAACTGGAATATTATTACTTATGGCGAAACTTTAAATGCATCAGTAGCCATCCTTGGCATAATAAAGACGTTGTTATAGCAAAATGAAAGTGCTTAGACCCTCAATGTGGGGTCCCATCCTCACCTAGCTATTTATGCCTATTTCCAGTTGTAAATCTATGTGACTTAAAAACAGTAGCAACCACTCTTCTAACCAGGATGGTTTTGACTGTGTGACTTCTCAAGTCTGAGTTCTGTGCTACACTGAGAATTTTTGCTGGGAGCAAAGCTGTGATTGAAACAGCATCTAAAGCATTTGAAAGCACTCTCTCCTGGGGATGTACCTGGGAGTGCTGTTGATTTTGACTTCAGTTTAGTTAGCATGATTCCTGACATCCGTGTAACACTGTTTGGTTTTTTTCTCACAGGTTGGCTGAATTAACTGGCTGTCATTCAGAGGGAACTTGACAGATCTATTGCGCTTTCGTTGAACCTCTCTGCTGCATGTCATAAAGATTTCCTAGGTCCAGAGGCTGCATGGAAGACAACTGAATAGCACAAAAATGTGTCTCTGACAAGACACTCCAAGCTTTCTGAAGAGGAATTTTCTACTGATCAGTTTATAATTTAAATGTATAACCGAAGCATGCATAATAGTTAACCTAATAGGGGAAAAAAAAGCTTTCTCATTAATTAGGACTGCCAAAAAAGCAGTCACCTGAAGCTTCAAAATGAGTGCTCCATTAATCCCAAACAAGTCATGTTATGCCCAGCTTCAGGACAACCGCAGTGAAATAAAAAATAATAATGAAAGCATAGTGAGTGTGGGGGATACCAATGCCAACCAAATTGTGGCAAAAGTTAGAACCACTGAAGGGGATGTTAAGAAACGTGCTTTGGCAGATGAGAGTGGGAATATACACTCTGGAGGATCAGAGAAAGTTACTCGCCTGAATACAGAGCAGAATAAACTTCTGACCTTCAAAGACTCTCGGACCTGTCACACCGGTGTACAGGAAAGTAAGCTGCCCTCTGCCACAAGCAGGGAAATGGGGAAAGATTGTAGGACCAGCGAAGCTAAGAATATATCAAGGCATATCAGGATTAGCCGAGGACAAAGTCTGTCCAATTTAAAAAGCAGCACAAATGATGCCAACCTGGAGATTATTTCCAAAGGTGATGTTGACTTCACCCAGAACTTTTCTAAAGGTAAAATGCCCAGGACTGTGGAGATGGAGAAAATAAAAAGGCTTTCTTTGGGAAGACCAAGTAAATTTTCTCCTCAATCTGAAACATTTGCAAAAGACTCTGTTGGCCGTGTGTCATGTAAACGTCTCCTTTCTGCATCATTGGACTCCATTGACAGGTCACACCATTTGATAGGAAATACAGAGAAATCACAAAAAACGTCCACAGATCATTTTCTTGGGATGGTGTTTCATCCACTCGACAATACCTCAGAGGAAAATATTGTGTTTTATTCGAAACCATCTACCTCAGGGAACAAAAAAATAAGTAAAACAGAAAATGTACCAAATGTTAATGTTGAAAGCACACTGCATACTTCTCATTCTCAACATTCAGCTGTTAAGCCCAATGAGATTGCTAGTAAATCAGAAGCACAGTTAGGTCAGGGTGATAAAAGTAAAAAACTGGAGCTGAAGACTGCACCATCTCTACCATCTAAAAATACGTGTCACCAAAAGATTGAGAGAATTATGCTGGTAGAGTTCCTGGGATGTCAAGAAGATGAAAATCCAGCAATGCAGGAGCAGAAAGGCTCTGGGTCTGACACATCAAAATTTCAAGCACCCCATTTTCAAGACACCTGTAATAAAGTAGAGGATCCATTGTCAAGCCAGGTGGTAACCTATCCTGATGACAAATTGCTGTGTGATAATGTCATTGGTGGGGAAGGGAGAGGAAGCAATGACAGTGACAACGGGGCAACTAGCCAGGTTGGTGAGGAATATTTTACTGTCAAAGAAGTGGAAACAATATTCCCACTCCCCTGCAATAGTAAATCCAGTGGCAAAGTGACACCTAGAAAAAATGAGAATTTACATGAAGTTGACACAGGTTGTGCTGAAACGGTTGGTGAAGAGATATCTCTTATACATAACATTAATCTACCTGACAGCAAACCCTTGAAAGTTAATGAGAATAAACTGACGCTAGTCAAAGGAAACACCGAGGATGCTGACGTGCTTGCTTCTGATCTCTCAGATCAGCACGGAGCGTGCAGCACAGAGACAGTGCCAAACCAACAACCTGACAGCCATGACAGTGATTCAGAAACCTCGAGCTTTTCAGTTCCAAGTAAAAAGACAGCTAATGCACAGAAACATCCTCCAGAGGAAGCACCAGAGAGCTGTAACCTTTCAGAAAAGGCTGATGCCTTTTTGTGCGTCCCAACTCCTGTACGCCCAGTGGCAACACTGGATGTTAATACTCAGCCCACGCTATCAAACAGTAATTTGAAGGACCTTTATGCACTTCATGTTGACAAACTGTCACCCTCCTCAGTCCTACCTCCCATTGACAGTACGCAGTTGTTAAACATATCCCCTAAAGTGCCTATCAAGACTGCTTGCAGCAGTGCCATCCCAAAACCTATCCTGGTCCACTCCAAGGGCTCCCTCACAGATAAGGCAGATGTGGACAGTGACTGCAGTGAAAAGCTGGAAGAAAGCATCGAGATGAAACCTGCCATACCCAGGCCCAAACCCGTGAGACCTAAAATCATCACATACATTAGGAGAAACCCTCGTTCGATAGAGCAGCTCGACCCTTCGTTTGCGCCAGCAGGGCTGCCCTTTGGTAGCCCTGCCTGTGGCATGCCCATCTCTGCGGAGCAGAAGGCGTCCAACGGAGGGGATGCAAAGCCCCCCAGCATCCTGTACGACAAATTTAAACCTGACCTCCAGAAGCCAAGACTCTTCAGTTCTGGTCTGGTGGTGTCAGGAATTAGGCCCCCAGGACATCACTTCGGTCCCATGAGCGAGAAGTTTCTGCAGGAGGTAAGGAGGCAGTTTTGAAAGCCTCTTTTGTATGTCAGGTGGCGATCATTTGCTTACTTGTTGCTGCCACAAGTTAGTTCTCAAGCCTCAGATAAGAAATAAATCCTAAAACAGTCAATGCGTGATCATTAGAAATCCACTTACTTATCATTTCTGGCACCGATCCTGTTGCAATGTCTTGTCTGTGACTGGAATTTGTCACCAGATTCCTCCAGTTTTTCCGAGCAAACTAGTCACCTGCTAGGAGTATAAATAGGGATGTTTAGAAAGGCAAAGACACGCTGTTTGAATCTATCCGTAAATGGAATTTCTTTTTTTTCCCCAAAGAATAGCTTTGGGAAATGAATGTAATTTGCCCGTAGAGACTTCCTCCTTAATGGGAAAGTTGGCGGGTTTTTGCAGACAGAGCAGTAGAGGTCTAAACTCATTCCCTTCTGTTTAGCTGTACTGAAACCCAGGGACCATCAGAGCTCTTGTTAGATTATATATATCATTCAGGAAAAATTTACTTTTGACTCATTTAGAAGCCATGTGTTATATTACATGTGTTATTGACCTACATCTTAAGTAAGAATCTCCTTTCCCTGGAAAGCCTTCCCAAGCAGCCAAAAGGTCATGGAAGTTCCTCTGGCCAATTCTGGCTCCTGACATCTCATTGTGTTTCTGCCTTAATAAATTGGGCAGGAGTCTTGGTTCCCTGAAATCCCTGCTGGGAGGTGAGCACAGTGGAGGAAAGTTGACCTTGCTTGGAGGGTGGAGAAAGGACAGGGAAGAGGGAGCTACATTCGGGTCTGTGATGTGCCCTTGCATCCGCTGCTTGGGACCTGTTGTAGCTCAACAACCAAACTTTTTATGTAAATAATTAAGATCACACAAATGTATTTCATTTAAACCAGTCTTTTTAATTTTTTTTCTGTGTGTCTCATGGTGTTATTGAGGCTATTTTAATGCATGCCTCATTCTACATACAGTACTTATCCAAGGAACAGCATTGAAATAACAAGTTTGGTGACAGTGTTGACAATCAAAAGCCAGCGAATATCCAAATTAAGATATCATGTGTGCGTGTAGATTAGTCCTTATGGCATGTTAAGAGGCAACCTACTGAAGTGATCATGGATTATATGTTATATATTATGTGCTCTATTCATAGAGCACCGTCTCAACCCAAACAAAGGACACTACTTGCTCTCTTTTCACCTCTAACTTCAGTTTCCAGCTCTATTCCTTATATTTTGCATCCAGAGGAGGAACATTAAATTCATTCTGAGCTTGTCTATGCCAGCCATTATTAGTATATCTTCACAATCACATTGTAAGGTGAGGGAAGATTACTAGGTTATTACCATTTAATGTATGGCTCTGGAAATTAAATAAAAATGATGCAGACTGTGCAGCTATTTGACTGTTTATAGGGTGACATGACCCTCTGAAGACCATGGGTGTCTATGGCCCGTGCAGATGGGGTTCAGATAATCAGGTAGGATCAGCAGACACATCTGGGAGCAAAGGACTGATTTCTGTGCACTGTTGAGGACTCTTCTTAACATGAGAAAGCCTCAGGTTGTGGCAAGTCTGCAGCATAGACTAGGGTTAGAAGGAGGACATGGGCTGGAGAAGATCCAAAGCATGTTCCCCCATTCCTCCAAGCAGTTTGACTTGGGGTGGGTATTTCAACAAGGGAAGGTTTGAACCCAAGCAAGCTGCTTCTTCGGAGAAGCTGGATTGCCTGGAGGAGAGGCTGGGAAGGAAAAGTCAATCAAACTTCAGTTTGTCTTATGAGTTTGCATTAGCCCAGAAGTCAGGAGCTGATGGCAGGGGATGGTATTTGCTCTCTTGGGCTGCCACCATAAAAGTAAGTACCTTAGTCCCCTGCTAGTTGGGGGAATGTAAAGGGGTCTGATTTAGTTCCAGTATGGATCAAGAGACAGGAAAATGATTGATCCATGGAAGTGGACAGATGCTTAGAAGAGCAGCTGTGCACAGTATGGGTTCATGGCAGATGACATGTATAATCTGAAATAAAGCAAGATTTTGAAGACAAGGAGATGCTGCAGCAGGATGGGTACTCTGCATTACCTTTGTGAGGGAAAAAAATCCCAGTCTGCCCTATTTCACACATCCAATTTGGGCTCTGAAGAGCTTTGATTACCATTTTATAGATCTTTACATAGCTATGACAGGGAGTTTTAATAGCTGCTATCAATCAGACCTGTAATCTCTAAGCATCATTCAGGTAGCTAAATGGTAGGAACAATTAACTACCCTTCTGGGTGCCATGAGCTGGAAAAAATTGGAAGGTGCTGTCTGGGACAGGAGATTCCAAGGCAAGGCCTGGAGAGCTGTCTGGGGAAGATTCATGGGCTACCTCCGTGCAGCCCTGCAGCCTGCCGGGCTCCTTGAGCTGCCTGTGCTAAGGCCCACATAGGGCAGCTTAGACAAAAATCCCAGCTCAGGCGTGAAGGCCATCCAGCTGTGCTCAGAGACTGCGTCCATAATGGAATTGAGTTAAGGTTAAATGGGCAACCGTACCCATAGCATTGGCAGCTCCTCAAGTGCTTTTCTTTGGAACCTTGGCATGGTGTGGCGGTAGATCTTTCACGCCTGTCTTCATCCAAAAAAAAAAAAAAAGGTAGAAACCCCCTCACAGTAAAATGCTTTAAAAAAGCCAGTCATTGTCCAGGGCAAATTGCTGCTGTCCTCATGCTTCATCTCAACATGGGCTCCCTGTCTCAATGTGGACCTTAGCCTCTTCTAGTCGGCACTGGTGAGAATTTGTGGCCACTTTGTGTTCCTAGTTACCTCCGTGGGAAGTAACAGAGCAAACTGTGTGACCCAAAGCTGTTGCTGTGCTGGTGAACTGAACAGCGGGAGGGCACAGCCTCCAAGGCTCAGGCAAGGTTGTCCATATTGCCGGGCTGGGAGCACAGTCCCCTGCTCAGTGTCCACCTCTGCCAGTGTGTGCTCACCCACAGGCTGTTCCCAAGGATCAGCATGGATGAGACCAGCCTGGTCTGCAGGGTGAGATTTTACCCATATGGTTATGATCCATGCCTTGCCAGAGAGTGGTCCTTGGCTAACTTTATTCACTACTTTATGGCTGCTGCTGAGAGTCCTGGTTCTGCTGGGGGTCTGTAAGGAGGCCTACTGATCACCAGCTCTCCTGCCTGCCTCCTCAAGGCTGTGCCTACCCTTTTCAGCCACCTCCATTCCCCAGCGCAGACATCTTTCTGCTCCAGAAAATGTGGACTAAAGCCTGTTGAAACGAAAGGCCTGTAGGGGAAAAAGGAGTAGGGGGAGTTGTTTTATACATAGTCAAACCAGTGATTTTCCCCCCTTGATCTCATTATCTGAACTGCGTGAACCAACGTTGCCAACTCTTTTCCCAGATAGTTGCCTGAAGCAGGCACTTGACAAGAAAATTCCTGCTTGAGGCATTAATGTTTGACGATGTTATAAACAAAGTAACACAAAGGGAAGTGTTGGGCATCCTTACTTGCTGGCCATGCTGCCAGCTCTGCTGAGGATTTCCCAGCCTGTGGAAATTCCTGCACTCTCCAAGTATTTGCTGCAGACTTCCCAGCTCTTTCTAACAAGTTCATTAAGAGGGGTGAGTGGGGAATGAGCAGGCAGCCACACACTGAAACTCTTGAGCAGATCTTCTTTTTAGTTGACAGGCTGCAATAGATCTTTTCTTTAAAAGTTTCTTGTACAAAAATCTAGTACAGGATGCTAACAGGTCTCATATTAAACCAAATCTTTCTGAAGGTCTTTAAAATGGCCTTATGATCAATAATTGCACATGATTCTGTTGAGACAAGTCGAATGACACACTTCATGAATTCACCATTAAATAGAAAAGAAGGAGGAGTGTGTCTTCATAGCAAGTTTATGTCCCCCAAAACTGGGCTCTTCAGGAGATAGTTGGGCAAATCTTTCTCACTTCTCTCAGCTTGAGAAGGTGTTTTATGCTGTTGATTGATTGCTTTTGTGTGCATGTTTGTTGCTCTTCTGTGTTATTCATAGCATACTGTCAATAAAAAAAAAAAAAAAGAGGTAACAAGGTTTAGCTAATGTGACCCAGTTTATCAAAAATGCATGGTTTCTATATTTACAGATTTTCTCTATTATCCTTATACTGAAGTGCTTGATATTGGGATGTTCACTGTCAGTTAAATATGAAATGATAGGAAGTGTATAGTGAAATTTGATTGAAATACATTGATAGGGGAGAGAAAAGATCACTGAATCTTATCCAGGAAAACAACCTCACATCTAGAAGCTGAAAATAAGGAGCTAAATATCTCCTGCAGTCCAGGCTTAGAAAATAATCTATACAGTAAAAACCTGCATCCTAACTTGTAGAAATAGGTCATAGGAGTATAATAAAAAAGGAAATGGGAAGATCTAATGGCAGGAAATAGGACTGCAAACAAAGGAAAAAATATGGAGCAAAAATATAATGCTCAGTGTTTGTTACATCTGCCCTCCTAGTTCCTGCGTAAAGGCCTCAAAGGTTCTACATTTAATAGTTTAAGGCCAATCTTGTCTCTTTTAGCATATTAAAGATTTGCTAAATTAGGATTAAAGCTCTTGAAGCAGCTAAGATCAAAGCTTTTATGGCCAATGTTGAAGTGCATATTCTAAATGCTTATAATTGCTAAATAGAAATTGATTTGGCATATTATATGCATCATAACTTACAGCAGAGTTAATTAATTGGCAGTTACATTTCTTCCTAGGTAGCCTATGGCACTTTTTGATTAACTTTTAAACAAATTTAGTTCAGATTTCCTATTTCCTAAGCTTTTTTTTTTTCCTGTGGCCTAAATGGGATGCACTGAAAAAATATTCATGGGTCCTTTCTACATTATGATGATTTTGATTTTATAAGGAAATGGTAAAGAAACTGGACTCTACCCAGAAGAGCAAACGGTTCTTTGCAAATGAGAGAGGTGAAAACCACTGACATTGCTTTGCGCCCTTGTCCTGCGCCCCGAAGCAGCACGGCAAGGTGGGAGTCAGAGCCCAGCTTGAGCATAGAAAGATGCAAGGGCTGAATCAGGGAACCAGGTTGTTCCCTGACCACTAGTTCCCCAGTAACAGCCTGTTTGCTGGAAATACGTCCCGCTTGGGACTTACTGTCCTGTCCTCACAGTATATGCCTATTAAAATACTGAGAAATTTGTCACTGGTTTTAGCAAAGCAGTGTCTATTTTTGATAAACTGTAAACAGTTTCACATCTGCAAATTTGCTTTTTTTTTTTCTCTCCAATTCAAATGGTCAGCTGGGTTTTATAGCTCTGATTTGGAATATTCAACAGCCCCCTGAAAATGTAACGTACAGAAACATGCCCACCCTCCACAACCAGGTCTCTGTCCAGGAACTTCAGGGGCAGAGATTACAATGAACATTTTGCAGTAAGAACATGTAGAGGGTTTTTTTTTTTTCTTACACAAACAATTGAACAATACAATTTCTCTGATAAAATGAACTTAAAATACCTTCAGCGTTATTTTTAACTATCTAAGTTAAAACCAACTTCCCCCAAAATTGTATCTCACTAAGAATATTTAAAATAACTTCTAATAAAGATTCCACTTACACACTCTCTTGGTGTATCCTACCTCTGTAAATAATATTACCTTTCAGGACTTAACAGTAACTTCATTTTCACTAATTGAAGATCTTTGTCTGTTTTCTTTTGGGGGAGAGAACAATTCTTTATTTGGTTTAGTTGTCTGTTGAGACTTTCATGTGCATATTTTTTGAGAGCGATTCATATGGTAAGACCCTCACTTTTTGAAGGCAATGATCAGTCTGCAGTGCTCTGAAGCCCAGATTCACAAGAAGGGAAAATTTGCCTTGATAAGCAATTTAGAGCTCCATATTTCCTGTGTTTATTGATTTATTGCATAATATCTGTGTTCATGGTTTTTCTGTAGGTTGGGGAAAGGCCTGCGAAAGATGAATTTTGCCCTCCACCATATACTCACTACGAGGTCCCACCAAGTTTTTATCGATCTGCCATGATACTCAAGCCACAGCTGGGACTGGGTGCAGTGTCCAGATTACCATCTGCAAAGAGCAGGATTCTCATTGCAAGTCAAAGATCCTCAGGTAGCTGTCTCCATCAGCAAGGAGAAATAACGAGCGCACCCAGCCTCTATCATCCAGATGCTTCAGGTAAAGTATGAACTTTCTCTCCTTAACTGTAGTCACCAATAAGATTTTTTTTCAGACAGAAATATCACAAAATGAGCAACATCTTGACCTGATACTACAAAGCTCCGACAGCACTCTTTGAGGTGTGTGCCTTTTTACCTTGCAGCAAGGCTGCTAAGGAGTCTGGGACTTGCACAAAGGTTGTTTAACAGGTTATTGCCAAAGAAGGAGAATCAATTTCAATAATAATTCTCATTGTGCTCTTTTTTATCTTTTTCCTCCTTGTAAATGCCTGAAAAATCTTTGCTTTTGTCCTGTGGAAGATAATGGGACATTTTTCTTCCATCATGAAGACCCCGTCATTCAATCTGAATATGATGTTCCCCACCATGTTGTGCTCTGAAAGCCTGGGCGGTGTTCAGATGTGCCAGCAGAGATCTTGATTCTCTGAAGCCCAGGTATACACCTCTTTGGAGACAACATTTCTAATACCTTTTTCTTCACAGCTACTGCCCGTCTCAGCATGACCCTGGGCAGAATTGTAGGGGAGGAAAAAACAAGAGAAGAGTCGGAAGGAGAAGTGTACGATGCCACAAGACAGAGATAATAATTACTTCTACAGGACACTCCTTGATAGCCTGGAAATCTTGGAGGTTTTAACAACGTACATTTAAACAGCAGCAGGTTCAGAGACAGCTGAAAATCAGTCATTGCAAGAGTGAAACATAGCAGCTGTTTAACAGTTTAGAAGTCCACAGAGATTTTTAATAGTCATAAGGGATAAAGTTAAGTAATGACTAGGGGTCATATGGTCTTTCCGCTTGCCCCAGGATGGGATTCCTTCTGCAAGATGTTTATTTAACCTGTTCATGAAAACTATTTATAAAAACCTTCAATATGAGATCCTGTAGCCTCTCAAAGAAGGCTGCTCAATTGCTTTACCTGCTTTCAAGCTAAAAGCTTTCCCCAGTGTTTTGCCTAGTCCTCTTTGTTGCAATTTACTTCTTCTTCTGTCTGGAGTGGATGTGGGGTCTTCTCCTCTTTGCAGATATTTGAAAACTATTATGCTCTCTCCCCAGTGTCCATTTCTGCATACTAAGCTGCAGAAGAAATTTAGAGAACGGAAGCGGGCCAGAGTGTCTTGACTTACCCTGAGGGGACAGTATCAGTCAGTAATATAGGTTGCCAGGATTTGGGGTTTATCAGAAAATCAAGGTTCTCTGTAACACAGTGCCTCTTTCCACTATTCTATCCTATCTGACCCCACATCTGGAGTTTATTTAAGTTGGTGCCATTAGCAGAAGCTGACCAAGCTCAGCCGTATGTGACTTCTGAGGTGCTCTGGGTGTAAATAGCAGCACGCTGGGTAGTAAATATCAATTCAGCCCTGTGAGTTGAGTTCAGTCAGCACTGAACATCGGAGTATAGGTGCAGAGAGCAATTGGGTCATATTTTCCATTTAAATGAAACTGCAAGAGGCTGCAAGTTCAGGATATGAGTAGGGTAACCGTTGCGTAACAGGAACCAATTTGGGAGACAGATATGAGATGAATATACAAACAGGACCTATTAACAAATCCACTGTCTTTTCTGATCCTTGGAAGTGAACATTGCCTTGATTCTTATTCATCCGTTATCCATCCATCATCCATATTATCCTGCATCATTGATGACTGCAGACATGATTTTTCCTTAGCCATTTTAATCCATATAGGAACTTGTATGTATTAACTTACTGTCTTCCTGTGTTATGTGACTATCTAAAATCTAAACAGTACCAGCCTATCAGTCCTATTTATTGTCTGTAATACTGCCTTTAAAAATGCCAGTGCATGAGAAGTATACGTGAGGAAATTGCACTAGCTGTTAGTGCAATTCTTATTCCACTAAAGTTGTATTTCCTGAAGTTTTCCATTTCTCAAAAGTTGGGTTTTTTTGATCTTGTCACTGATTACTTCTTGGACCTTGTCTGCTTTGGAGGTCAAATTTAACTCATAGCTCTCCGTAATTTCCTTCCTACAACTGTTATTTTGTTTGTTTTTCTCTAGTCTGTTGATACCTTGCTGTTTCAAAGATGCTATTAAAGATAACTCATGGTAGTCCAATAATCTGTCTGCCATCTCTTTCAGGATCCCGAAGTGTGTCTCATCTGGTCTTTGGACTCTGACTGTTTTTATTGATTTTAAATTATCCAAGACTTGTTCTGGAGAGGTTGCTAATGTCTCTAGTTTTTCACTGTCCACCCCAGGACACATTGTTTTCACTTCTGGCACCTCACCTTTCATTTTCCTTGTGAGATGAAGAACACGTTTAATTTCTCTGCAACATCTTACTCTGTTGCAATGTACTTCTCATTGCTCTCTGTTGATCCAGTGCCTCCCCTTAGGGATCTTTCATGTATTTCTGATATCTTATTTTAGTTACTTTACATTCTTTTATTTTTAGCATTTTATCTCCCAATTATCCATTCAGGATTGGTTTATAATCACCTTTCCCTTGTCCAAAGCCTTTTTCCTTGTATACCTCAAATGACTTAATCTTTCTCTCAGCAATGTATAGCTTCATAGGTCAGCATACCAGTCCTTTTGTCTTCAATAATGCCTTTTTAGAAGAATGAATTGCTCATGAAAGCGGCTGAAGTGACAGCAGACAGGACAAAACTGGCATAGGAGTGGAAGGGCAGCAGAGAACTGGTTCCTGTGGCTGTGTCCCCACCGATGCACAAATGCAGACCAGAGATGGGTCCCTGGTTGCCACAAAGGGGCTGTATGGGACAGCAACCCCTAGCAAGCCCAGAGCTGGTGTGGGGCTGGCTGGTGGGGCTCAGAGTAGGGCCAGGCACCGTCTAGTCAATTGTTTTATGGTACCCAACACCATTTTCAACCACTTTCCCTCAATTTGGCAGGTAGCTATGGTATTAAGCTTTAATCTGCATTATTGGTTTTGATGCAATATTTGAGAAACAGGATTAAATGCATCTTTGATAGAGTCATATTTACAAATACAAGCAAACAAAATGCATAAATGAAACGAAATGGTCGGCATACTGGAAGCAGAGCCAGTAAGACTCCTGCTCGCGGGTGTTGTGGGGTGTGAGGGCTTGGCTGACTGCAGCAAAAGCAGTGGGGCCTAGGAGGTATTTTTCTCTCGTGGGTACCAGTCCTGCCTTGAAGACTGCTAATCAGCACCTCTTGCAGCTCAATCCTGAGCTTTTAATCCAGTTTCTAATCCTAGTGATTTCAGTCCTGCCCTAGGGTAATGGAAGCAGAAGGATCTAGCCAGTTGCCATCCCGTGACAAAGTGTGAGGTACCACGGAGGCTTTTAAACTGAAATCACCATGGCACAGCATCGAGGACAGAAGCAGTGGCTCATAATGAGGATTTTATTCCCCTTTGCCATGCCATTCATAATGTAGCAGTCTGTTTAAGCAGCACTGATAAGCTGAGTGATTTTGCCCATGTATAATACTAACACTTATAAAACTGACTTTAAAGTAATTGATAATTAAATCCCTGAACTGCTGTGATGGATTGCAAGTACTACAAGTACATTAAGGGTTTCGTTAGCTTTAAGACACGCCAAGTAGGAAATAAAATAAGAGTGAATGATCCCACGAGTGTGATTGCCAAGTGTGATGCCTAAAACACGACTAGAGCAGGGGTCCTTCTTCATCTGTAGGACGTGGCACCCACATGTTGGCATGGCTGTGAGTTCGTTATCAAGCAGTGTGGCTCCTTAGGTGATGCTTTGCCTTGGATGGGTCAGGCAAGGAGCCTGACTATAAGAAAAAGCATTCTGCACTGTAGGTAAGGTAGGAAGTCATTGAATCATGATGTATTTAAAGGTGCAATAGCATCTCCAAAAGCTTAAATTTTGTTTATTTTGTGTAAATTGACTCTGCTCTTTCTACAGGAAACTTGTAATTCAAAACAAGCATTGAAGGATACTGTGTCTATAGCGTATAAATTATGAATATGTTTTCCTTGGTTATAAAGACTTCTTGGAGCAAGTGTGTTAGGATTTGCATTAATTAGTTGATTGTTTTGATGGGATTAATGTATGATTTTGAAAAGTATAACACAGATCTCATCATTAAAACTTCACTTAATTCTACTCATTAACTTCACTTAATTCTACATTTTTCAGTAGTATTTATGGTATTTTTTCTTTCTCAAAGAGTGAGTTAGTGAAATGTTTCCTTATCACCTCTCTGTATATTAAATTTGTCAGTCCTGGGGGTCTAGCTGTTCCTCTCATTTCTAAGCAAGTCAACTCTTGTTAAAGTTACAATTTATACACAAATCAGGACAGCAATGTTTCTGATTACACACACACACAGATATATGCATTTATTTGTGTCTTTCATATGTATAATGTATTTAATCATGAATGCTACAATACGTCTACAGCTTTCTCCTGGTAGGAAAGCTTTGTTTTCATGTTTATTCTCAGGAATACCTAATGCTTGAACAAGTAAATGAGATTTGATGGTAGAAAACGGGTTTTGAGGTTACTTCCCAAAATGTTGATTTGCTGCTACTCCAGATATATGCTTATTTTATCGGTTTGCAGTCTGAGGTACTTGGATTTGAGCTGGCAAACGTCTTAATTATTTAAGGAAAGAGGTGACAAGGGGAGAATTCAGAGAGGAAAATACTCTCTATCCTCCACTAATCTGCAGTGTTCTCAGTTGGCACTCTCTGTTTTCTTTGGGAGAGCAATCTGACTCTATCTCATAAAGAAAAATTAAGTGCTTCAAAGGGCACACTTCATCATCAGAGTTTTTCTAAGGCCATTGTCTCCATACTCGAGACGTAGCCATATGCCATCTCTCTGCTGCCAACAATTATTGCATCTTCAAACAACCAAAATACATCTTTGCAACCCAGAGAAGGGTTGTCTATATGCCTGTTGTACCAAATTCCCAGTCATAAGAATAGTACCAGTAACAACCTGGGTGCAGCAGCAGGCAAATGCTTCACGCCTGACTTCCTCCCTGGCGAGAGCCAAGCATCGTGGC